ATAAATCAAATATTAATATTTTTAACCTTGAGGTAAACAAGGATTATCGTTATTATCTGACATTCTTTCAAAGGCATGTGGATTGTTTTTGAAGTAATCATCTAATACTGTATCGCTTTCGTTTAATCCCATATAACAACTAAACCCACTCAATCCAATATTAGCATCTAGAGGTTCATTCAGCCATATTCTACAATCATCAAACGAATCTTTTAGAATCTGAAAAGTTTTTTAATAATATCACTATACCAACAATAATAATTTTAATTTTAAATCTTCTTGCCGTTTAAAGATTAACCACTCATAAGTTATTTAAGCATTATTAGTGATCATTTTTTTAATCATTTTTTAACTTATTATTAACCGATAATTTATTTTATATTTATGACGAATTTAAAAGAATTATGAAAATAAATAATTTTAGTTGAAGCAGTGTTACTGGACATCCCCTTCTTTCACGTTGTCCTGTTATTGTATTATATTTTTTTTCAAATTTACTTATTGTAACTAATATTACAGATTGTAAATATATTTTTAATAAAAAAAAAATAATAATTTTATTGCAATTTGAAAATATCATGTACTAATTAATTATAATGTATATTTAAATACTTAAATAAATACACAAGTAGTGGAATTGGCAAAATAATTTGTTTAGTTTATATCAGAAATGTTAATTAAATTGACAATCATTTATCACAATTTATAAGAATAGTCTAAAAAATTACTCTTTCTTCATCTTCGTTATCAGTTTTATCCGGTTGTAAACATGCAATCTCGTTTATTGTCCTTGATGCCGCTATAGTTTTCCTGGATGCTGCCCAGTCTTTTACAAAAACACCACGCTCGCTACATATTTGTTTAAAAAGTGTAGTAAATTGTTCTAAATCCAGATCTATAATAAAGAAGCAAAATTATTTAGCTTAAAAATACTTGATAAATACACAAAATACGTTTGTAAATTGTTGTTGTAGAATCATGGTGTAGCTCATTAGTCACCTTAGTTATCAATAGAACAGTTAATTTTAGCTTAGACGTGTAGCTGAGAAGGTATTGTTATTACAATGATATGTATTTATTTTTTTAAATTGGTGTCTGGACCGATGATATTGCCTAAACCACCAAATTCTTTATAGAAGGGGTTCTGTTTTGTTTATTTGACTTTTACGAATGTAATTTTTGGTACTTAGGTCTAAAAATAATAACTGAAATCAGATTTACTGTGGGGTTTTACTAAATAAATTTTAGTTTTAAATGGTTCGGGCTAAGGCTTGCGTGCATGGAATGGTTTTAGAACGTTGTGTGTTTATATTTATATGGTGTCTGTGGTCACAATAATTTGGTGAACAATTTTCAATTTTTGACCATAAAGTACACAACACATATATTTTACAATTATAATTTTGCAATAGTTTTTTAAATTAATACCTACCCAGAGTAGAAAAATTTAAGGTATAATTAATTAAATGTAGCCGTGGACCACACAGCTTTTTTTTTTATTGTGAATCAACTTACTAGAAAATCTAAAGATCCTAAATTATATACAATCGGTATTTCGGTGGGTCAAAAGGTGGAAATTTCTTAACCTTTGTCCATAAAATCGGAAAAAACAGTGAAAAAATGTGTGATTCTTTATTTTGATTAATTTTGATTTGTTATTATTTTAAGAAAAATTATCTAATCGAGTTGAAATTTAGAAGAATTTCTTATTTGGTGTGTCCTTATAGTTCAAATTTCAATTATACCAATTTCACAAAATATTATAAATTATGACCACATGCATGGGTGGCGTTGGTGAAAAAGTTGTTGGAGAGGGATCATGGGGAAATTCTACCACTAATTCAGCTGTCAACCGGTAAGCATAACAAAAAATATTGATCAAAGACACGCCATAACTCAAATGGCCACTGGCTTATTTTGGATTGAGTAATTTTTTTGGTGAGTAAAAAGCAACATAATCAATTCAAATATAAATATAAGAACATAAGTTTTGATTTAAATAAAAATAATGTTCATAAAGTAAAAACAAAAAACCAGTATAGTAGAATTGGGGGAGGTCACAGGTCTATAGGAGTTATCATAACTAAAATTAAAATATCACTTTCAAATAAACGATTTGCTGTAAATCATTGGATAGTAAAAATACAGCACAGTTCAAACCAAGTACCTAGTTAAAGTCAAATAATAAAAAAAATTGATAAAGTTTACCCAAAAGTGCCATACTGCCGTCTGTAGGGATGTACGATATTAATCTAACATAGTCGCGTATGCTTTTTCCCATATAGTACCAAAAGTCAAGCTTTGAAATTTTTTCTCCCGGAGATTTATTTGACCATATTCTACAATTTTCGTACGAATCTCTGAGAATCTGAAATGTATTATGTTAATATCAATATACTTCATTACATAATTCCCTAATTATGAAATTTAAATATGTAACAAATTTAAACTTTTTAATGACTTTTTTTTACGAATTACGAAATTAATATACGGTTAACAAGAAACTATTAATTTAAAATTAACGGCACTTGGGCACTTGTGAATGTCAATACATGACACTTTTCAAAATGTAGTGTTAACTCTAATGGTTGAGGATGCTTAACAAAATTATTTAAGTCACTGTGTAATTTACGGGAATCGTTTGGTGAGTTATTTGCATAAGTAGCTTTATGTCATCAGCAAAATAAAGTAAAAACGACCGGACCGACAGCCTTGTTTTTTTCCACAAACAGGTTGTAGAATGTATTTTATAATAAGGGATTCAAATAATTATTAAGAAGTATACTACTGTACAGAATTATATTGATATTTTGAAACCTTCGGTTAATATAAATACAAATTTTAGCATAAATGTTAAGTTTTAGTAAAAAGTTGCCTAGTCATTGCTCCTTGATAAATCACTGTCGCGAGTTCTTTTAACAAACAATATTAAAAACTTATTTTGATTATGAATTTGAAAGCCAATTTGTATTATCTTTAAGGTTAAATAATAAAAGTTATCTGAACAATAATAACTATATAAGATAACTTTAACCTTTTTACAGTGTTAAAACGTAATTAGAATTTACAATTTATTTGAATAAACAATTATTTACTGGTATTATATATTTTCAAATATAAAATATATTAGTTTCATACGAAATAATATTTTTAAATAAAATTACTTTAAAAGCAACTAAAAACTATTAAAATAATATTTTAAAAAATGATTTGAATTGTTTTTTATTAAATATTCTAAAATTATTTCAATATAATATTATTTGTAATAGTTTTAAAAGAATATCCTACAATAATGTAAAAAATTACTTCATCTTCAGTTTGGCCATGGGCAGCATTAGCTGTTAAGACAATAGATAATAATAAAAGAGGGATTTTCAAGAGCATTGTACGATATTATAAACTCTAATCTGCAGTTAATCGGTAAAACGAAACTAATGATTTTAAATGGTTGTTTTACATATAACTGAAGAAAACAATTATACGAGCACATACCTATATAAAATATTGGAAGTAATTTTTTTTATATGTGACGTTAAAATGCATATTCGCATAAGTACAGGGTGATTCATTTTTGATAAGACACACGATCTATCGGAAGATATTTATATTTTGGAAAAAAATAAAGACCTGCTTTTTCAGGTACAAATTGTTTAGGCAACATATATTTTTAATTACATAAATGTGTGGTCGAAAAGTTTAAAAATGTGTTAGGGTTTGAATTTTCAATTTTCATCCATCTGTTCATTTGTTATGACTAAAGCTCGGATGTTTATGACTTTGCATATTTGTTTAGTGAATTTATAATTATATTAAAACACGATATAATATCGATTCATAAAGACTAGATTTCAAATCAGCAAACTTATATTGCATATATTTGCTTATTTGACCCTTTTGAGCATATATTTGCTTATAACGATTACTTCTAGATTTAGTAGCATATTTTTAAGTATAAATATTCGAATTAAAAAAAATTGCTGTTTTGTGTTACAAGATCAAAAGCTTAAGTCATTAGAATAGTATACATATCTGTTTTTTTTAATCCCGTGACAATGTAAAATTATAAAAAAAAAATCATAAAATTACATATTATGTAGTTAGAATTAAGATTATAAGAGATAATATTTTATTAAGTATATTGTTTACAAAAAGATGCCATGTGTTTTAGAAGTTAGCTGGCCAATGCCGCTATTGTTTTTTTTAGTTTTGACTTTTGTTTAGTACGCATGTTTATAGGTACTCTTATAAGCAAATCCAATAACGTGGTATTGTTTTTTTAAACCGATCAATTTGTACATGACTCTTCTAAACATATGTAGGTAGGAAAACATATTTTTTTTATGTTTGAACAACACACGTATACATTATTTTTCTACTTATTCACCAAGCCTTGATATGTGTAAGAGGCCCTCGGTTTTTTTTAATTCTTGACATGTACACAAGAGCCAAAATTTTAAGTGTTTCAAAAATAATAATTTCGTTTAATAACGTTAGCATCTTTAATGTAAAAAGTTTTATCGACAAAATTCCACATAGAACAACCCAAAGTTTAACAACCCACCGCCCGACCGCCATGGGAGAGAAGTTAAAAGCATTTTGCAATTTTAGAATTTAAGAGCTGAAAATTAGTCTTAAGTTAGGACTAACATTCACCGTATAACTTGTTCAAAAAAAAAAAACATCAATACCTAAACCTTGTCAGTGTATTTTATCTTAAAGATACTATAACAGTTAACTGGATGATGCTGAGCTTTATAATTGTAATGCTATTGAGAGACAAGTATAGACTAGACTAGACAATAACGAAAAGATGTTTTTTTTTTTTTTTTAGTGAAGTTTTATGTGAAGTTATTTATTCTATATTGAAGAGTTGTTCAAATTTTCTTCTTTTCGAAATACCAATAGATTTATATTAATTTTTTATTTTTTATTTTTAAATAAAATTAAGCGTACACAAATTATGAATAATCGGTGTTTATTTAAAAAAAATATTATTTTTGTTGACATACAATTCGTTTTGACGTATTTTTTAAACATTTTTCAACATTATTAACATGCTAATATTGGACTATGAAAAATTATCTATTTTGCCTTCTTGTAACCTTTATTTTTAACGAACTAATCACGTTAATTTAAAGTTAGCGACAAATACTCATTGATTGTCCTTGCTGCTGCTTCACTTTTTCTTAGCGCTGTCAAATCTTCTAGAGGAACGCCATTAATGCTGCATATGTATTTAAAAAGTCCACAATACAGTGTAAAGTCTATAGGACCTAAAACAAAAAAATCAAATTATTTAATTAAAAAATATATATGTAAATCCAGTGAAACGGCAGTAGCGCGGAGCTAAGTAACAAAAGTTTCACTACTAGTTCAGCTGTCAGACAGTGTACCATGATAAAAAAATATTGAAGTAGGCACACGCTACAGCTCATTTGGTGATTGTTGTGTCTGTCGTCTGTTGTTAGAATTTTTAGCTATAAGATCTTTGCTGGACTGATTGACTTTTTATGGGGTTTTGTGTTATGTAACCACAATTAAAGAAACTTTAAATTTAAAATAAATAGTCCCAAGTTAGGCCCTATATTAATTTATCAATAACATCAGGAATATAGCTTTACCACTAAAAACTGTGCTTTCAGCAGATTTTATTAATCTTCACATAAACATCAGGTCTTCGATTTTTATGGACACTTTTTTATGTTGATCAGATTAAGTTTTTGTACGATTATTAGGATTTTTATTATATTGACTTTTTTTGTTTGTGTTAAGGAAAAAAAAAGCAAAAGATATACTTTTTAATTTTTAGAAAATTGAGGGTACTCCCTTTAAACAAACTGCTACGCAGTTTCGCATCGAAGAGATAAAAGAATATTATTAAATGATAAATAAAATAGGTCTAAATTATATTTACCTTGAGTTGAACCATAATTCATAGCGTAGTTATGTGACATTCTTTCAAAGGCATGTTGATTGTTTTTTAAGTAATTATCTAATACTTTATTGCTTTGGCCTAATCCCATGTAACAACAAAACCCACTCAATCCAATATTAGCATCTCGAGGTTCACCCAGCCATTTTTTACAATCACTGAACGAATTTCTTAGAGCCTGAAAAGTTTTTTAATAATATCAATATACCAACAATAATATTTTTAAATTTAAAACTTCTTACCGATTAAAGATTTATTAATCATGAATAATTTAAGTATTATTAGTTATTAATTTTTTAATAATTTCCAAACTATTTATTAATCTATATTTAATTTTGAGTTTATGACTAATTTAACCGTTGACCTACATCATTATATACTATACTTAAATACTTAAATTGTAGAATTAGTGGAACCGGCAAAATAATTATTTGAGTTTGTAGGAGCAATGTTAATTAAATTACCAATCATTCATCACAATTTATAATAATAGTCTAAAATTTACTCGCTCTTCATCTTCGTCATCAGTTTGTTCCGTTTCTAAGACTGCAATCTCGTCTATTGTAATTTTTGCTGCTTTAGCTTTCCTAGATGCTGCCCAGTCTTTTACAAAAACGCCACGTTCGCTACATATTTGTTTAAAAAGTTTACCAAATTCTTCTAAATCCGGATCTATAACAAGAAAATAAAATTACTTATCTTAAAAATAATTAGTATATACACATAATATGTTTACAACACGAGGTATGACAACGGTTAATAGGTATCAAAACAATATATTTTCGCTTCGTTGTAATATTTATATTGGTGTCTGTTGTCACAATAATTTTACCCTGTGAACCGATTTACTGAAGTAGAAAATCTATAGATCTAAAATTATATGCACTTTGTACTTTGGTGGGTCAAAAAGTGAAAAATTCACAACCTTTGTTTATTAAATCAGAAAAACAGTAAAAAACTGCTTGATTCTTAATTTTTCAATTTTAATTTGCTATTATTTTAAGAAAAATGGTTCAATCGAGTTGAAATTTAGAAGGATCTTTTGTTTGGTGTGAGATCTTTGGAATTATCATGACTAAAAGTCAAATATTACTTTTAAATAAACGATTTGCTGTGAATCTTTGGAAAGTTAAAATATAGCACAGTTTAAACCAAGTACAGTCAAATATTAAAATAAAATAGATAATGTTTACTTTGAGGTGACCAATTGCCGTACATAGGGCTGTTCTTTAGTATTCGAATTCTGTCGCTCTCATTTTTCCCCATATAGTACCAAAATTCAACCATTGTAAATGTTTCACCCTCAGGTTTATTTGCCCATATTCTACAATTTTCGTACGAATCTCTGAGAATCTGAAATGTATTACTTTGATATCAATATTCTTCATTTCATTATTCCTTGATTATGAAATTTAAATATGTAACAAATTGGAACGTATATGGTAGGTACGCTAATTTTGGTTACTACTTACAACATTGGCAAGTGATAATACAATCTTCTAATTTGTCCATTTGCTAAATAATTGAATACCGGCACGGGAGGCAACTATTTTTTACCAAACATGGTATGATAAGAAATAAAGGTAACCTAAGGGAATTCAGATATTCTTAAAAGACAACTTGTATGTACCGAAATAATTAGAGGTGTATGGAAGAATTTAGAAAGGAATCTAATAACGAGAAGTATATTGAAGAATCTTGAAGTTTATTTAACTTAAGCGGAACGGAGAATCTATTTTTCTAGATAATTAGCCACTTAAAAATTTTTGCCCTATTGAGTACCTACGTTTCACAAATTTCAATGCTAAGGTTGATGATGAATATGAAGAATAAAATCATTGAAAATAAGGGATTCATGTTGGACCATTTCTACCTAACGAGAGTGGCCATAGTTATGTGGATCTCAAAGAACAGCGCCGTACCCTAAAATCAGACGTACAAGTGAACAGTATAAAATTTTCCGGGAATGAGTTAACAATAAAATTTAAAACCTAAATCGACAACGGTGTTAACAAGTAATGTATTTTAATCTAATAGACCATTATAGAACCATACAATAACAGAACATTTTTTTTGTGAATGCCAATGCACGACACTTTTTAAAGTGTTAACCCTAATGATTGAGACCACTCAACAAAATGATTTGCATAAGTAGCTTCATATCATCAGCAAAATAAAGTAGTAACGACTGGGCCGAAAGCCTTATTTTTCTTCAGTAGTACAACAGGTTGTAGTATGTATTTTATAATTGGGGATTGGAATAATTTAGAATGGTACTGTACAGAAATAGATTGATAGTTTTAAATCAGGTTTCGGTTAATATATTTACAAATTTTAGCATAAATATTATGTTTTAATAATAAGTTGCCTAATAATTGCCCCTCACTGTCGCTTGGTGCCTTAGCAAATAATATTAAAAACTTATTTGGATTATAAACATTTATGCAAAAAGATTTTAATTGTATTTCTTTAAGGTTAAAAAATAATAATTTTCTGAACAATAATAACTATATAGGAAAACTTTAACCTTTATACAGAGTTAAAGAAACATTATTCAAATTATCATTTTACAGTTTTTTTTAATACAAAATTATTTACTGGTTTTATATAATATTTTCAAATATGATATATATTAGATTTATAGGAAATAATATTTTTTTAAATTACTTCAATGATTTTTTATTGGAATAATTATTATTAAAATTAATTTATTTTAGTTTTATTTCAAATAGTTTTAAAAGAATATCGTAAAATAATATAAAAAATTACATCATCTTCAGTTTGGCCCAGAACAGTATTTGCTGTTAAAATAATAGATAGCAATAAAAAAGAAATTTTAAAAAACATTGTACGATATTATAAACTCTAAGCTGTAATTAATCTGTAAAACGAAACGAATGATTTTGAATGGTTTTTTTACATAGAACTGAAGAAAACAATTATACGAACACATACGTATATCAAATATTGTTAGTATTTTTGTGTAGATGTGACATTATTTAAACTGAAGGTTTGCACAAGTATATAAACAATACAATGTCTGTAAATTTCAGGTGCAATTCGAAACCGTCGCGAACATAAAGCGTCGTCCGTAAACGACAAACGCGTCCATCTTGTATATACAGGGTCGGAAAGCCGAGTTATAGCGTGTAACTAAATTGCAGAGTCTGATTTTCTTAAAACAGACTTCTCCTCGGATCTAGGGTGCCCAAATTTGGGTTATAATACCTAGTTTGTATTTTGAAGGCCTACGCCAAGTTTGGTGGCGATCGGTGTGGTATAGCGCGTCGAGCTATAGCGTCTGGGTCCGTTACTTATCTAAGTAGTGCCTTAGCAGATTTTTCTACTGGCCCTGATACCTTCAGATTCGGGAGATAATAGTAGGCAGTCTGAGATTGACGACGATGTTCTTAAAGATGGCCAGATGGTTTTGGGTAGACTTAGGTCCTCCTTTCAACGGTCTCAGCAGGTAAAGGAGCTAGAGAGGCTTGATATAATATCTAACATGCCAAGAAACATTCAAAAATCAATTAAAAATTTATTTCACCTTAGTTTTGATCACTCTTCGGTTCCCTATTACTTTAAATATCAATCATCCAATCCGGTAACTTTAACAAATATAAACACAAACTGGGAAACTTTGAAAAATATTATTGACACAAATTTCACTGTACATTAAACTTAAAAACTGTGATGATATCGAAAAAACAACTATCAGCTTAACATATTTAATACAGACTGCTACTTGAATTTCTATTTCTACATTAAATAAAAAAAAATCCCACCGAATTCCACATCACTGCCTTTGTATGCCCGTGACCTGATTGCCTTTAAAAAAAGAACCGTGGAGGTGTGTGGCGAAGAACAAGACATTCTACAGACAAACATACATATCTACAACATAATATATGTATTATAATAACTTAACACTTTGTATTGTATTTTTTTTTTGTATCATATAGTGTGCTATAATGTGTAATCACAAAATCAATAAATTAAAAAAAAAAAAAACTTAGACTTAAAGTTAACAAATTCTTTTGGAATTTCATAAGGAATCCTTTAAAAAACTCACTGGGTCATTCCATGCCAAATCACCTAATGTGTGTGCAAGTGGATTTTTGAAATACCTCAAACTTACATATCCTATGCAAATAGTTCCACAAAACCAAAAAAGTGAAGAAAACAATTATTTAAAAAAATTTTTGGTCTTGGCGATGCTATATTTTGAAAATTTTTGTGAAAACACTATAAGTTCACGATCATGTTACTTAATGACTAATTATGATATCGTAATGAAACTTAAACTAATTAATTTTAATTTAAGTGTTATTTTTCATAATACACTGGAAAACAATTTTTTTTTCAAATTTTTGAGTACTTAAAAATTGAAAAACAAATTCAAAATTTTATGAGTTTCATTTAATTTTTTACTGATATAAGGTCAAAATTTCAAAACTTTTACTATATTATACTTATACTATATTCTTTTAATTCATAACTTTGTTTTAGAATTTTTTTTGTGATTTACAAGGAACTTAAAAGTTTGGCATATTACCAAAAAGTGATATATTTATAGCCTATAATTTTTTATCACACGAACCAAAAATTCTGAAATTTTTACAGCACTTACTTATATGTATGTAGAACATTTGGTAAAAGTTTTGTAATGGAGACTTTTTTTATCAGGAGATTTTGATCAGGAGATTCAGATTTTGAATTTATTATTATAGTCCTACAATACAAAATTTAAGAAATTCAAAGTCTCACAGCTCCTAGTAAAAGAAAGTCTCCGTTACAAAATTTTTACCAAATGTTTTACATACATATAAGTAAGTTCATGTGATAAAAAGTTATAGGCTCTTAAATATAGCACTTTTTAGTAAAATGCCAAACTTTGAAATTCCTTGTACATCATCCAAAAAATATATTATAAAACAATATGATCAAAAGTGTGAACAATATGAATCAAAAGTGTATATTATGATGTATACTATGAAAAAGAACACTTAAATTAAAATTGTCAGTTGAAAGTTTCAATACGATATCATTAAGTAACGTGATCGTGAACTTAAGGTGTTTTGACAAAAAAATCCCGGAATATAGCATCGCAAAGTCCAAATTTTTTTTTAAAAAATTGTTTTCCTCACTTTTTTGTTTTTATGGAACTATTTGCAGAGGATATGTAAGTTTGAGGTATTTCAAAATTCTACTTGCACACACATTAGGTGATTTGGCACTCAATGATGTTAGTGATTTACTTTTTGTGCCCTTATCTATGAATCTCCCGCCAAAATCTTTTTCTCCTGGTGAAATTAAAAATTGTATCTGTACTTTTCCGCCTAGTAAAGCCCCAGGCAACGATTTAATTACTACCGAGGTCGCTCGACAACTCTTCAAAAAAGCAATAATCTTAATGACTTATTATTGCAGTTCTTCGCTTATCATACTTTCCATTCCAGTGAAAATTCTTATTAATAGTCCTCATACTCAAAGATAATAAACCTTCTGACCTACATTTCTCATATAGACGTATAAGTCTTTTACCCTTTTTCGCAAACGTTTGTGAAAAACTTATTTTAAAGCGAGTAAATGTAATTATTAAAGAAAATAACATTATCCCTGACAATCAATTTGGTTTTCGTGGAAAACACTCCAAAATCCATCAAGTACACCATTTGGTTGGTCTAATTATCTCAAGTCAAAAATGTAATATAAACATAATTGTAATTTAAGTTACTGAAGTCAGTTGGAGTCCCCCACTGGGCGGTCTCTATAAAAATTATTTTTTTTTTACAAAGTCATATGTATATAAAACGTATTGCACACATTTTTATTGTATGTTTTATACAGGTTGTTTTATAAAGTTGAAAGTATTTTGGTTGTTTTAAATTTATTTGGCGCAACTTTAGTATTTAAGAGCTGAAAATTAGTCTGAAGATAGGACACACATACACCATATTATAACATGTAAAAAAAAAACATGGACACCTAAACTTTATCAAAAATGATTATCTTAAAGGTAGTATAACTGACGAGAAGATCCTTAACTCACTACCCGTAATGCTATTGAGAGACACGTATGCTGAACAACAGACTGGACAATTAACGAAAATATATGAAGAAGGATATTTTATTTTTCTTTACATTTTTATGTAAGCCTATTAATGCTATATTAATGAGTTGCTCAAATTTGCTACTTTTGAAACTAACAATTAGTTTATTTTAATTTTTTTCTTTCTTATAGGTAGATAAAATTAACGATTCCCAAATTGTAAATATTTGGCGTTTATTTAAAAAAAATACAAAACATTAGTTATGACGTTTTGATTTTTTTAACATTATTAACATGTTGTTATTAGTCTGTAAAATATTAACTGTTTTGCCTTCTTGTGACCTTTGTTTTTGACGAGCTAATCACGTTTCTCTGGAGATAACGACAAATACTTAGCTAGATCCCTTTTGCCTGCTTTAATTTTTCTTTGTGCTACCAAGTGTTTTACAAAAACGCCCTTTGTGTCGCATATGTATTTGAAAAGTCCAGAATATATTTGTATATCTATAGGAGCTAAAACAAAAAAAAAACAAATTATTTCAGAACTGATCATATGATATGTTAGTAGATTGTAAAAGTTGTGTAGATGAGCATCACACATAATAAATTAAATGGTTGAATACTTTCTTAGTCAAAAGCAAGATTGTACAATATTTTCGGTATATCGAGAATCATAATTTGTTTAAAATAAGTGATGACTGGTGTGTCTGTTGGTAGAATTTGTAGCTATATTAACTAAGCTAGACTGTTTGAATTTTGATGGGGTTTTGTGTTTTGTAGCCACAGTTAAAGAACTTTTAAGGGGATTAAATGCGGTTGTTTTTTAGGAGTTTTGTGTAGGCATTAATTAGGAAATAAAAGGTTTTAATAAATTTCGACCATGATCATGGTACTATTATTAATTTAAATAATTGTTTCTATGAGTAAAAGCCATTTTAGTTTATTTTAGATTATACAATTTTATTTTAGACAAAATGTTGACTACATAGGACAGTTAAATTTTAATTCTGCAAAGAAATTCAAACAAAAGAAGATTTTTAAATTTTTAAAAACTCGATTGAGAATATTCCCATCAAACAAACTGCTACACAGTTTCGCATCGAAGACAAAAAAGAATAGTATTGAATGATAAATCAAATATGGATAATGTTTACCTAGAGTTAACCCAGGGTTGGTAACGTAGTGTTCATTCATTCTTGCATGGGCATCTCGATTCTTTTCTAAGAAATTATCTATTACATTATCATATCTATTTAATCCCATGTAACTACAAAATTCAGAAATTCCAATATTATTTTCTAGAGGTTTATTCAGCCATCTTCTACAGTCGTCGTACGATTTTTTTAGAATCTGAAATTTTTTTTTTATTAATACCAATAACGATTACTATAAACTTAAAATTAATTTTCAATCATTACTAAACTTATTATTAACCTATAATTGATTTTATGGTCATGGCTAATTTAACTGTTGTTTACATTAAGTTTTGATCTACATTATTATGCACATTTTACACTTAAATTATACATGTAGTTCGGTAAATATGTATATATATATATATATATATATTTTGAGTTTATAGCAGAAATGTTGGTTAAATTACCAATCATATAATAAAAAATGTATTAAACAATAATAGTTTTAAATTATAATATTAGTTTGAATCATATTAATAATATGATAATATAAAGCCAATAAAATAATTTCTTTTTAATTTATTAAAGTACAAATGTTATTAGTGATACATAATATTAGTAAACTATTTTGATTTTAAATATTTTTGACTAAGATTTTTATTGTAAGTCTTTAAGCTAAAATAAAAGTAGTTACCTCGCGAAAAATTGCTACATAGAAAATACTTAAATGTTTTGCTTTGGCCTTTTCTTAATCATTTATAATAATTGTTTAGCAAAACATTGACAAAAACCAATAGTTTTAAAAAAATAATCGAAAGAATTTTAAAAATTACTTCTTTTTCTTTTTCGTTCAACACAGTATAACTAATAATAGAACCGTCGTCAGTTTCTTTCCGTTCTAACGCTGCAGCCTGTTGTAGTGTCTTTTTTTCCGCATTAGCTTTTCTAGATGCTGCCCAGTCTTTTACACTAACGCCACGTTCGGTGCATATTATTTTAAAAAGTTCGCTAAAATGTTTTAAATCTAGACCTAAAACGAAGAAACAAAAATATTCAATTTAAAAATAATTAATATATACACTTATGTTTACAAATTTATTGTTGTTATAGAATTCTGGTGTAGTGCAGCATAATGCATTGGTCGCCTCAGGTGTGAGTGAAACAAATTATTATTGCTAAGATGTGGAGCTGAAAAAATATTGTTTTTACAACGATATGTATTTATTTTTCTAAATTAGTGCCTGGACCGACAATATGTCTTTATTTTTGGTACTTAGGTCTGAATATAAGACTGAATGTAGATTTAAGGGGGTGGGGATTTGAGTATTTACAATTTGAGGAGATTCCACCACTAATTCAACGGTCAACCGGTGTACCATGACAAAGATATCGAAGCAGAGACGCGCTATGACTCATACGACCACTGGCTTACCTGTCGTCTGTTGTCAGGATTGATAGCTATATAATAATTAATACGCTACACTGCCTGATTTTAAATTAGTTCTTAAGATTTTTGGACGTACTCGTAAAACTTTTTAGTTGAAAATGAATCTGAAGGTAGAACGCATATTTGTCTCAAACATATTAAACAGGAAAAAAATCAGTATTACATTATTTTTTATTGGGCGGAAAACTATTTTTAAGCCGAATTAGTCAATTTTAACATAAACACGTTACAACTTTGAAAAAAAAATGATCAAGTTATGTCAATGCAAGATGTTTTTGGTTGAGTAAAACATAACCAATACAATACGAATTTAAATAAATTTTTGATTTATGTCCATAAATTAAAAAAAAAAAAAAGCCAATAGGATCGGGGGAGTTCACAGGTCTACAGGAATTATTATAACTAAAAGTGAAGTATTAATTTAAATAGTATTTACCTGTAATTTGTCTTGGATTATTACCGAAGTATGTAATTATTCTTTCATAGTCACTACCGTTTTTTCCCATATAGTACCAAAAGTTATTCGTTGGTATAAGGTTTTTAGGAGAATTTGACCATTCTACACAATTTTTGTATGACTCTTTTAGAATCTAAAATGTTTTTTTTATATTAATAACTTTATTATAGAATTACTAGATTATAAAATTTTAATACGTATTAAATGTTTATAAAAATTAATGTACAAATTTTATTCATTAATTATTTTGGTAAAATGTAACGTTTATTTTTTGTTTTACTTGATCACATTAATAATAGTAATACTAATAAAATATATAAGTACATGCAACAAGGATATAATACAACAATAAAGTAACTGCTCGATTCTGGAAAAATGGAACCCGAATAACGATTGTTATTTATTTTTAAACTAATCTAGAAAATGTTTAAATTATTGTAAGATGTATGTCTAGTACATATTTGTACCTAAGGAATACATTTTTCTTCTTATACTTACTGGCTTTATATTTTTTTTTTAATGTAGAATATATTATTATATTAGATTTATACTTACAAACTATTTAAATAGTATTTTTTTAAATTATTCAAATAAAAAAATATTTGAATGAAATATTATTAATAACAGTTTTTATACAGTTTTATAAGAATATCCTAAAATATTATAAAAAAAAATACTTTATCATCGTCAGTTTGGCCCAGAGCTGTATTTGCTGCTAATATAATTGATAGTAGAAAAATAGTGACCTTAATAAACATTATACGATCTTATAATCTCTAAACTGTAGTAAAAGTGTGAAACGAAACGAATGATTTTTAATGCCTGTTTTACATAGAATCGAAGAAAAAATTACACGAAAACGTAATTATATCAAATAAGAATGCTAGTATTTTTATTTTTTAGATGTAAAGGTATTATTTGAGTTGCATATTTGTACAAGTATATAAACACCTACACAAGTATATTCGCTGTGTATGATTCATTGAAACATATCGCACAGAAAAGTTATTTAGGAAATATGTTTGGGGCTTCATAATATATATTCAATAAAATCGCATGGCAAATAATATCAATACCAGACTATGAAACTCTGTGTTCCAATACATGCTTACAAAATGTGTATACAAATATCAGATTTTTTTTTTAAGATTTTGTATGTAAAATTTATTTTAACGATTTTATGGCTATCAGATATATATTTTCTTGCATTTAAAATGTCATCTTTAAACTCGAAAAAAAAAACCCACTTAAAAGATCTTTCTATAATATAATAATTTCTTATTTGTTCTCAATTTCAATATCTGTCTTATAGACTATGTGTACCCATACAAATTTAAACCATTTGAGATTGTGCATAATCATATTTAAAATAAAAATTAGACCATTCAGTTTTTATAAATAAAAGAGTAAGCTTCACATAAAAAAATTGAAATCCCATTAGTTGTTTATGAAAATTGGCTTGAGGTGTGAAAATTAAACCTGTAAATCTGTAGTGACCTTAAAACTGAAAATATAATTTTAAGCACACTATTGCCAATGATTTATTACATCGTGTTTGCAAGTACGCATCAAAGCGTTTATTTTAAAGTGATTTCTTCACTTTCAGTAAAAAAAATTCCTAAAGACCCGTGACTTCTCCCGTTCCAATATCCTTCGTCTCCTCACAATGGCTCGACCACGCTGTACTGCCTTTTTTTTACACATTTATCGTTTACTAACCAATGAAATATTAAGAGCTACAAATTAAGTATACATTTTTCTATCGTGTTAAATAATTTCTCATGTATAATAAATCAAAACGTTTTATTGTCCGTAATTTTCATACAGGCAATAAAAAATGTTATAAGCATAAAAACAACAATAACACTCTTTGAAATAAATGGTATAAAGTTTGAAATTAATACAAAATTGTGTTTTGCCTTGCTATTCCACGTATTGATTTTAAAGAACTAATAAAATAGCTTAAAAAACTTTTAAAATTATAACTATATATTGTATTTAAGTGGTTCTAGTAATTATTAAATACATGGAGTAGAAAAGTTCTCTCGAAAAATCCTAAAAAGAAGGCACTTTTCATTGTTTCATCTTTTTATATTGTGTACCTTGTTTTAGAACTTAAGTTTTAAAAATTGGTCACATTATAGGCAGGCCCTAAAGCATATCAACATTTTTTAGGATTCCTAAAGGAAATAACTTGCAAATGAGTCAACCAAAATAATGGAGTTAAGAAACCAAGATAATTAAAAAAGATATGTTATAACCATGGTAACCATAACCATTATCGTAGTAACCATGGTAAATTTGGTAACCACAACTTTTGCAACTATGGTAACAGTAACCATGGTAACAATAGTAATTTCAGTAACCCTAATAACCATAACCATGGTAACTATTGTAAAAATGGTTACCATATTAATCCTCATAACTATGGTAACTTTGGCAATCATAACCATGGTAACTTTAGTACCCATAACCATGGTAGCCTAAATAACCTGAACTATGGTTAGCAAAACCATGGTAACCATGATAACCATAACCACGGTAACCGTAACCACTACTATGGTAACACGGGTAATCCCAACTATGATAAGGCGCTATTCCACTGCCGTGTGAAACATTGCTTCTTGATTGGTCATGGTTCATGTTATCGACCACTTGATAGTTGATACCACAGGTTAGCGTAAAGTTGAAATAGTCCAACTAGGTCGACGTGTGGATATAGCGATTACCCATATTAATTAAAATTGAAATATTATTTTGTTTATACATTTTTTAAATGTCATGTATCGTACCCAAATTTACAAAACAATGGAATTTTGTATACTTTTTAATTTTATAATCAGTTTGATAATATTTAAAAAAATTGATAAACAATACCAATATTAAACAAATTATACCAAACCCAGATTACCAAAACCACGAAAAAAACGTCGTATGTGAACACGATGGCAGTGTAATTACGCCTTTAGCGTAGGTCAGTTCCTTGGTTACCATTATTATGATTACCTTGGTTACCATAGTTAGCAAGTTTAAAAACACAACTCGAAAATTAAATTATGAAGTATATTGTATTTTTATTTAATTTTTAGTCCCCAGACAAATTTTAAGTATTATTTTTGTCATAATACTTACATATTATATGATAACGATATTTTAACTTAATAGAAAAACATGTTTATTATACGATAAAAACTTCAAGGAAATACTTAATGTATTATTGCACGTATATTCAGGTCAATCGACACTATTTATATCATATAGTTAAATTTAAATCTGATTAATTTCTTCGCTTTTCGAGGAAAAGCCAAAGCCAGGTTTGTAAGAGGAATGAGTTAAAAATATATGATATATAACAGTTTGAATATTGTCTAACGTTATTACTGTTATACATAAAGTGTCTCCAAAATGAAAAGCTACAAAATTGCAGTTATGAGAAAATGAGTTTCGTGTATCACACTGTATTGGAGAATATGTGGTTAATTTGAAATTTGTGGTTTTGTATTAACCGCAGCTTTTTCATATAGAATAATATAGAATATTCATGATTTATGGTGTCTAACGCATAACAACTATCCTATTCTGTCTCGGTTAAACTTAGGTTATCGGAAATCACACTAAAATCTTCATTATAATATGGAAACGGCATTATTTCCAATAACCGGGAAAGTTTTACAAGCGGAACTACTTAACATCATATTATTACCTAAAGTTTAACGCTCCTATTTATAAATAAATGTCGACATTTACAAATGAATTGTAATTGCATAATTTGACTTTAGATTAATAAAGTTTTAACGTATACTTTACATAACAATACTCATGATAAACAGTTATGCTATCCTTAGCACATTGCCACTACCAAAAGGACACCAATTCATGACACTCAAAACTAATTATTACCACTCTATATAATCCAAGTTTTATTTAAAAAAAAAAAAAATGATTATTAAATTATATAACGTGGTTGAATTTTGGTTTTATTTTGTTTATCTACAATATTTTATTGGTGGCTAAAATATTTTTTTATTATTATGTTGTATTACATATTTTATAAAAGTGACAAGTACTTATTACTTCTCAAAATGGCTATGTGTAGAAAATAAAAAAACCTTTTCACAAATTGTTATAATAATTAATAATAAGTATTTTTTTGTACTTCTTTTTTAAAAAACTAAAATTATTATTGTTTTAATGTATGTTGCTATTAATATGATTTAGTAAAGAGTTTTAATTAAACAGGTAAGTAAAAACAAAACAAAAACTTCATATATTTTATTAATATGTATCTATATAATACTAGAATTGAGCAACAGTGAACTTTAACAATTTTACTTTTTTTTAATGGAAACCATTATAGCTTTATGTACTTATAGAAGCCAATTTGATGCGTACATAAGCGTTTTTTATTTAAATTTATGTTTTCGACAATTATATAAACTTTATTTTTTATGGAACTTGTAGTTATTTATTTTGTTGTAATATTTTTTTTAACAGTCATAATTGGTTTTACGATACCGTTTAATGGATGCCGCTTGACTAACCGTATCATTAAACAGTGGTAGTGTAAAGATGCATAACCCAAAACATGTACTCATGAACTTTTTTTACATGTCAAGTATTACGTCTTAATATGTTTTTTTTTTTGCAAAAAAAAAATATATATGTATTTCTTATGGAAACTTTTTTTCTGTGATCTCTTATAAAGATATTAAAACATAATTTAATATATATATCATATTAAATATATCTATAACTCATCAATTGCTGTATAGATTTGATTCTCGATAGTTTATTTAACACCATGTTGACTAATCGTCAGTTAGTTATTGGTCTATTTAATATTTGACAACAGTTGAATACTTACAATATATTATTATGGCGTGAGTGTTCCGTTGGCGTTGTAGATAAAAAAACGACTCAAATGCAATAATCCAGAAAAACCAAGGCAGACATAAATTTAAATAAAGTGTAATACAACTGTTTGTTTTTTAATATTATGTTATATATTTATTTCATACATGTCACATTATTATTATATTCACACACAATTTTAATCTTCTTAATGGATAAGCATAGTATTATAATTTATAGTCATCGACAGGGAGTCCTCCGTATTTAAATATACAGGATAATGCAATTATTATAATAATACAATAAACTTAAAACTATAAAACACTCAATATATTATATTACTTAAATATGTATTAATGAATATAATAAATGGAAATAATCAAATGGTATTTGATTTTCTTATTAAAAACATGTTTTAACCAGTTGTTCGTGGGATTAATGAGATAATTTTTAAAAAATAAAAACCTATCCTGAGCCAAGTATCGCGATCAACCCTTCAATTGTCGCCATAAATATTTCTTTCCGCCTTTTCCGGATTTGCCAATCACAAACTTTTCTTGCAAATTTCAGTTTAATATAATAGATAATTTTTACAACAAACTCATTGACTAACTACACTTATAAATATACAGTACAAATGTACAAGTACTTAACATTGTCAAAATGCAGTTACCGCCCATATACCTACATGAACCATATAAAATTACTTACAATTTCATTGTTAAACCTATATTGAGTTAATTTGATAGGTCCAATCCAACATTTCTTTTATAAATAAATAATATTATATTACTATACCTAATTATTAACTGACCTTATTTAATATATTTATAGTGTATTATAATATAAGAACGCAGGTTATTAATTGTCCGCAAGAAACTGAAATGTCATTTAAATGAAACGGTAAAAAAGCTAAAAACAAAATATTAATATCTCCAACAGTGTAGAAAATATTCGTTATTGTTACTTGGTGTAAACGAAGGGCAGAGTGAAAAAATTAAATTAATTTAATATAATACAAAATATCAGAATTGAAAACCCTTTCCAACCGCATTCACAGTATTATAACGCAAGCCAACTGCAGTACTCGATTGTACTTTTAATTACAATTAATTTTATGGTAATATATTGAAAACTGTTACTGTTTAAATAAACAAACTGAGCGAAATTTAGTTTGTCCGTAGAACTTTTAAAGAAAATAAAGTCAAGCTCACAATAGGTCTTAAAACGTTCAAATCGTATGATGTGTAAAATAAAAAATTAAATTAAATTAAAATATTAATATTAAGTTATAAAATTGTATTGTGCAATTTCATAGCTATACAGGACGTCAATAAAATATACAACTTAAACTGATCGAGTTTCATATTTAACACTAGACTTGATTATTATTTAATTTAAGAAGTAGCCTAACGATATCATTTTTATCTAGTATATTATGCTATAAATAACACATAGTTGCTTGATGCACTTAAGAGAATATCTTAATACAGTATAGTAAGAACTGTATAGTTTATGTACAATGTAAGTAAAATCCAGTAGTATTAAGTTAATAAGTAATGTTGTAAAACACACAATAGTAATACAGTTTGGAAAACGCCAACTCGTACGATATCTGGTAGGGTTAGCACACCAACGTGATGATAATATTATAACATAATGTTTACTCGAATAATATTAGTAATAACCAATGGGATGAGAAAATTCAAATCACAATTCACACTCTTTACGTATATTCGTCCTAGATATAATTATAATTATAACTATTATATTCATACGCAAACGGTCAATTCATAGGATTAACATTATTCAATTACACACAATTAAAATTTGGAATTTTTCCTTTGAAATAACTGAAAACTAAAACAATGCTCTAAAATTTTCTCTAAAAACGCGTTGAAAACTAATGTGAAAATTGATGAAAGTAGCACGACTATTTTTTTTTAAATAGGTCCAATTTTGTAGTTTTTTAATTATCTGGATTGAAATTTAGATTTCCAAAAGTCCAAAGGTTTTTATCCAAAATTTCACACACTTAACTATAATACAGTGAAATCGTTTTAACTTACACAAACACACGGGCGGGATTAAGTATGACTAACTAATATTATATTATATTATTCAGCAAGTATAATAATACGTATAATAGGGGTCTAAAATTGTTATGATAATATACATAATATAATATTAGATAAATAATCACATGGCGCAAAAACGTCTAAGGGTGTCTATGAGGGTAATTATGCATGTGCCAGACACAGGGTGACCACAATTATTTAAAATAAATCGTACAGTATTTAAACAGGGTTTTCCAGTGGAGCGTTCAGTAAACGATTTTGACCAACGTTGGTAACGGATACACAGCCGGCCGGACCGTTGGACACGATGAATGTCATTGTGGTCGAACTGCTGACGGTCGAGGCCCTCTTGCCTTTGCCCATGGCCGACTCGGCTATGATCGATGGCCGGTTAAGTCTGAAACACACACACACGTATACATTTTAACAATAACTTAATAATATTATATAATACACCAATTTATTTTATCAGTTACACAACGTCCCCATATGTTGTAGACACTATAGTTTCTTCTGAAAATAATTACTATTTGTTATAGTTTTTCTCTTGCCCGACATTCTATATAATAATATGTTCTTTTACAGCATTTAACGGTATTCGAATATTTATCTTTTTTTTTTTTATAAATTCCAGAGTTGTATCGACTTTTTAAACTCAACTATACCTATTGTAAACGTGTACAAGTTTTATTAACTTTTTAAAGATTAATTTGCTAAATATTTTGACCGGTCCATGACCAGTTTTTTTAGTTACTTTTTATAGAGTTATTCAAGTTTAAAATTTAGGACGGGAGGAGTGCAGATTATACTACACTACCTGAATTTAAAATTTTAATAACTTTAAAAATAATCATTTCGAAATTGGTTACCGACCAGTCAAAATTCGTAGTAAATCAGTTTAATAAAATATATACATTGCCAATAGAATTTCAAAAGTAGATAGAGCTCTATAATTGATAAAAAAAATGTGAATATTGTATTATACTGTAAAAAAACATGAGCTAAAATATCTAAGAAAACAATATAAAACTGTGATTATATTCAAAGAAAATAATTGTCTTACGCAAAATCGATCACCCTGTATAATATGAAGAGTGCAGAATAAAACAGAAAAGTATTTTTCCTTTAAATATAAAATATGTTTAAAAAAACAAATGTTCAAAATTGCAGTCCATCAAAACGAATTGTTTGACTTTAATATCGATTGGGAAAATGTAAATTATATTTTTTGATTCAAAACAATTTTCAAATCATATTTAAATAATTTTAACGAAAATTAGTTAAATAATACTTATTTAGTTAAAATATAAACATTTTGGCTTCTTCTTAGGAAAAAAATTTCTTTTACATTTGCCCCTTTAATTTAAAATTACCACACTTAACTCTATTATACAGGTTAATCAAAATAAACAAATAGAACATATTTTTATCAGTAAAAAATGGATTCAGGCAAAGCATTCGTCAAACAAACTCACAGTTTTTACGTTCAAGTTAAATAGGGTAGAGCTTTAAGGGATGCATTTTAAAAATAAAACGGCAACATGCATATTTGGTTTGCCTATTAAAATCAAAATGATACAATGATGAAAGTAATGACAGGGTGTCAAGGTCGTGTAATAGATAATGTAAATTCCAAAAACTACTATCATCAACGTTATTTGTTCATATTGTTTAAACGAGCGCTGTGATGAGTTCAAAGGGAAAGTTTTAAAGTTTTATTTTGGAACACATACAACAAGCAGTTGATCGTTTGAAATTCTAGAGCCTGGCAACTCTTTCCGTATATATACACACACGCGATATTATCATATACATCTAAAATAGTATATTTTACACTCCGAGTCACGTTTTTCCTACCTTTTTGTTTTGCCTGGTGGGTTTGGTTAGGTAAAACTTTTTTGAAATTTTAGAAACGTCGATGGGAAACAAAAATAACGTAAGTTAAAAAAAAATAGTTTTCAATTATTATTTTTTTTTTTTTTGTCTTTGAATATCAGCCGAATAACACAACGCCAACGTGTATTCTGTTTTGAGTGTTTTCTTTAGAGAATAATTTCTACATAATTTCGATTCAAGTCAAGAGGGGTTATTGTCAGTTTTTGGAGATAAATTTGTGTTTTAACATTTGATTTTGAAATATTTTGACCAAATTCTACTTTTAATTATAACTAATAACATCAATCACTTTCAAATTAACCTTTCGGTGTAAATATTTAGGTGGTAGGAATACAAAAATATCGATGGAATCATTTTAATGACAATGATGTGAAACTATTAGGGTAATGAAAATATTTCCAGAAACCTGTATTATAGTACGGTCAAAGTTTGATTTACTCCATTTTAAGGGGGGAGGGGGAGAGTTTTTATTTAAAAAAAAAATATGATTATATATCTTTAAGAAAACTGCACACGTTCTATCTCCAACCTAGATCTACCTTCACTGTAATTTTTAGACCTTAGGCCTAAAAAGCAAAATAAATAAAAAGTTTCCACCCTATCCGGTAGAAAGTGTATTTTATATATTTTTTAATTTATTTATGTCAAATGTCTATTGATAATACTATGTCTAAAAAATATTCAATATAAATTTGGGACTAATTCAACTATTTTTAAAGAGAAATTTAATCTAATCTATAGAGTTGCTACACGAGGAAATCGACCATAAAGTTTTAATGATATCGTGGATCCAGTCCCCCTCCCCCCAAAAAAAAAATACATAATTTAAAAAATAACACCTACTCAGATCCGCATCAAAGCTAAGTCAGTTTCCTTAAAAACTTAAGTTGTCTCAACACATCATTGGTGATCAATATTGAAGGATACCTTCTCAGCTACGCATTGAAGCTAATAAACTATAATTAAGTAAGTACTTGTAAAGTAACCAGTACTGGCGTTTGATAATTTTCCATTAACGTATTAGCATTTGTTACATGTTTTAAACGCTCATGTAAAACAGTCTAACAGTGTTTTCTCATAATAATGTCGCGTATCGACTTATGAGAATAATATAATAAATTTAAAAGTGCGTCGATGCAAAGGAAATCCCACACCAAGTCAAAATGAATAATGGTCTTAGCGTTTCAAAGTATGTATATGAACGATTTGAAAATCTTTGTATACACTCTTAATGAAGTACAACGGAACGTTTAGCCAACTGCCAAACATTGTGGGTACGATAAATAATTTTGGTGAATTTATATCGTTGCTATCTGTACTTTTATAGTGGTTTATTTTCACTCTATCTAAACGAATACTACTCCATCGAGTTACCAGTGAAATGAGAGTTCACTCAATTAATTATTTGACCCTAGCTATATATATATATATATATATATATAATTTCATTTACTACATCGTATGGCCGAATTCACTTTACTCAAATTACGTCCCATGAACATTGGCATGCGCTTCAGTATATAGTAGTATACAGGGTGATTGATTGACTATGACCCGGTCGATATCTTAGAAGACGTTGGACTTTTAATGGTAACGTTCGTATCAGACATTGACTTATATATCGCAATTACTATCTTGTTGTAACACATGTACAGTTAGGTTGAATTAAACTAATATAGAGTTTATTATTTGATGTTCATAGTGTTCTTACACATAAGGTATGGAGTTCTATTGTTGAAAATGATATCACATTTGGGCTAACTAATAGTATAAATGTACTAAAAAGATTAATTTAAAAAAGTATAATATTTTTTGAGATGTTCTAATTTTAAATTTTATATTAATTGATTTATAGTCACAACTATTACACATAAACATTAAATTTGGTAATTTTTTTTATTTATAAAATAACCGATGAATATAAACGATCATATAGCTGTTTTTTTTTTCAGAATAATACCTAATCCAACCTGTGCCAACAGCAAAACAAACAGGGAAAATGTAAATGTGACTTTTGTTTAACAAGATGATCATTGGCTGTATATTTGCCTTTTATTTGTTTGAAATTAATTACCCTTCACTTGACTTTATATTTAACTTATAATTAAAGTGTTTTACTTTAATTATCCATTCTAAATTATTTTTATACATATTATAAACTATAAAATAACTATTGTTCAAACTAATAATTACATTTATTTTATGTTTTATGTGCTATAGTTCAATAAAATAGTATTATATTATTATAATAAAGTGATTAAAAATAAATAGGTAAATGTTATTTTTTCGTAATTTATTCATATTAGTAGGTGTATAATACTTATTGCAAGTATTTTGATCAACTTGTTTGACATTTTTTAGAAAAATGTCACACAAGTTGATTATAAGAATAAAACGGGTAATTTTTCATCACGTTATGTAAATAGTGCCACAATTTAATGTTTTTATATTTTACATATTTGTTTAAAGCATTAAAATTTATCGTTATTCTCGTTGTGAACTCCAGAATTAAAATTCTCCATTTTTTCCTTTAGTAGATGTTCTATGTTTAAGACAGAATTACCATCACTAATTATAATGTAGTTATACACATAACAAAGTTGAATATAATATATGAATTCTAATATAAACAACTTAACAACTAATAAAACTCGAATTCATGAAAAAAGAACAAACCCGTTTCACGCTGATTCAAAAATACACTTAAAAATATTTAAAATATATATATCCATTTCAATTGCTATCCAGTTGTACTATAAATTTAATAGTGTTTATTTGTATTGTGAAATTGAAATTGTCCTATGTATTTGTTTATAGTGTAGTATGCTGTGTCATTTGGTAACCCGCATAGTGGGCAGCTCGCTTTGTAATTTAATTAAATAAAAGTTGTTTCTCTCTCATAATTTCAAAATTTCACCTTCGATGCGTATTTGAGAAAGTAATGTTTTATAGTAATTATGTGGTCATATAAAACACATTCCCCCGGAAGGGATGGAAACTTTTTCTTTATTTTTATTTTTCGAGCGAAGTGTTAAGACTTAACGTCCGAAAATTAGACCTTAACCTCAACATAAATGATTTTGTTAAGACTATGCAGTCAAACTTTTTTTGTTTTTATAGAAAAAACCAAAAAAATCGTATTAAATTTTTATGTTAGGTTAAAAAAATATTTTTATAATAATGTTAAACTGACTATTGGTAATGATGAGTATGAATTATTACAAAACACGGATGATCACTCTAACACTGTGGAAACTGTCCAAACTTCGGTACTTTCATACTGTGCTTGTATTGGACTCAACTGGTTTATACTGTACTTGGTTTAAACTCTACTGAATTCTTCCTATCCACATATTTACATTAATGCATTTATTTAAAATTCATTTTATTGTTTTCAGTTATAAAAAATCCTGTTAACCTGTGACTCCCCCTCTCCGTCGTCACTATGCAACGACCCAATTGTACTGGCTCTTATAAAAAGGTTATAGATTGCCTTACTTC